CGGAAGTATTTTAAAGCAAACCCTGGACATTTTGTCATTTTATGCCCACAAACCAGTATCCAATTCCAAAACCTAAGTACATTTTCTGCCTTGACCACAGTGCCAGCATCACGGCACAGACGCTGGCTCCTGGGTCACCTGATTTCCACTTCCTGTGAAGCGCCTCATAAATGCCCAGTTGTGTTTGAATCAGGGTCGAGAAGGCCCCCCGCATTGCATTTGTTTGATATTTTCTTAAGTAACCACATCCCATGTGACAGCAGAAACGAGAGGCCAAGAGAGGGAAAGGACACAGGTGCTGGTCCCTTCCCGCAGCACTTGGCTCTGGGCAGACAGGGCAGTGCTTACAGATGCCATTAGGCTATTTTGTAGGGGATATTGCCCCATTGTACAGATGAGGATGCTGAGGCTCAGGGAGACGGATTCCCCGAGGACCCTGAACAGGAAGGGCGAGGACCCGAATGTGGCTCAGACATTGGCTCCTTGTGGGTTACCAGGGAGTGTGTGGCATCCTGGCAGAGAAGCATCAGTGGAGTGCTGAGTGGAGGAAGGGAGGGACTGCGGGCCAAAGGAAGAAAGCAGCAAGCCAGCTAATTATTTAATGGAGTGTCTGGGCTGGAAGGCCCTGGCCTCACCATTGTGTCCCGGAAGTTTTTCTCAAAAGGGCTGGGCTGCCCCTGGCGGTGTCAGGTGTCCCGAAGGGAGTGACTGCAATCAGGGCCCTTCCTTTTGCAAGCTGTGACCCTGGGTGAGCCCATTAGAGGGAGGTGCCTGCAGCCTTGGCGACAGAGTGCGGTGCTGGGGGAATAGGGCACAGCAGGAAGGTCTGGGGACAGGCCTGCCCTGAGCCTGGGGACATGCCAAGTTGGGCTCCTGACCCTGGGGCCTGGCTTGCAGCAGACGCACCTCTTGAAGGGTAGAAGAGTGGACTTTGCTGTGAGGTGTGGAGGACGGGGAGGAATGAAGGCGAGGGCGGGCACTGGGCACTGGCACATTGCTGGGAGTAGACCAGCCAGAGGGGGGCCAGGGGCCTGGGGTTGAATGGACACCAGGCTTCAGGTGCCTGGGAGAAGGGGAAGGGGGCACTTCACTGCTGCGCTCTTGGAGGCCAGAAGGACCCTTCTCAAGCCTGTGTCTCACCATGTCGCTCCCCTGCTCAGATGCCTCCCAGGACTCCCCACTGCCTGCAGATAAAGCCCTGCCTTCCTCATCCAAGCTGTCCATCACCTGTCCCAGCGGACATTTGAATCTCAGAGCCTTCCATCCACAGCACCTACCTGTTCCCTCTGTACTCTGGCTTCCTGTCTAGAAATGCAAAGTGTGGGCTAGTCCATGTTTTGTTTTTTGTTTGTGTTTTTTTGTTGTTGTTAAATTTTTTTAGTCTCTTTCAGTTCTATGGATCTGTTTAGTCTATAAAAGAATTTGCTCAAGGAACGGGTCCTCTGCCTTCAAATTTCCCAGGAGCTGGCCTGGGAAGGGGTGGAGAGGGTGTCTATGGGGTCCCAAAGGACAGAACTAGGACCAGAAGCAGAAAGTGAGAGGAATGGGAGGGGCCATAAGGAGGCCACACCAGGCTCGAAGTAAGAAATGTTTTCTCACAGTAAATACAATCTGAAAGTGGAATAAACCACTTGGGTAGGAAGTGAGCTCCCCATCTCTGGAGGTGATCAAGCGGGGTTACCAGATAACTTCTGTGGTTCACCACTTCCAACCCTGGGTATGGGATTCTACCATAAACTATCTTCATACTCATCTGTGTACACCTAAGGGGAGGGCTGGTGAATGATGCTCTGCCCTGAATCCTTATAGGAACAGGATTTGCATTTTAGCAACAAGTGTGTTCCCAGGATTAGGGAACATTCCTATCATCCTTCCCTCTACTCAACTCTCTCCTCTGGGCAGCCCCAAGTCTTACCCCCTCTAATCAGGACATAACTCATCTGTCCACATGTGCATCTCTCCATAGGGCCCAGCCTTGAGCCCTGTGCAGGGTGACTGTCTCCACTCCCATAGCCTAACTCTTGTCTGGCCTCTCTCCCCATTTTTCAGTCTGCCTTCACTGCTGTCTGCTTCAGGATCCTTCCCACTTAAAACCTACTTATGGCCCTGCATTTTTTATTTGAAATACCTGTCCTCCACCCTAGCCTGGTCAAAGTCTCCCTCTCTTTAAGGCCCAATTCAAAGGCCTCCTCCTTCTCCAGGAAGCCTTCTATGATTGATCACCTGGCTCTGCCTTTTGGGTCCTACAGTCCTGTCCACTCTGTCTGTCCAGAACAGCCTGGCAGAGATTTGGAAGTGGTGTTTCTCCAAGCTGAGCAGCTGCTCCTGCACCCAAAGCAGGTTCTCCATGGTCTGTAAGGAGAGCAGGCATATGTCCCCTGATTTAGAGCTTGTGTCCCTCATAAATCAGAGGCTTGTTCCTGGCTAACTGCTGGCCTCAGGAACAGAAGGGCGGAAGTGGCCTCCTGATTATAAATGTTCTTGCCCTGACAGGGCTATTAGCAGCTCAGTCAATAGCCCGTCAGACTGGCTAATGTCTGTTAATGTGGGTCCTCAGCACAAAACCCTTTCAGGCACAGAGCCTGCCGGCCTCAGGGGAGGGTCAAGCTGTCCGGAGCTGGGCCCCTGCTCTGAGAGGCCTGGGAGGAGCACTGGCCCGAGCTCAGCTCTGAGGAGCTGCCTGTCTGGGCCATGCCTGACCCTGAAGCACCTCCTGAGCCTGACCTGGGAGCTGTGGGCCTGAATGGGGCTCCTGGGCAGTTTGCCTCCTGTCATCCAAGGCCGGCCTACAATCAGCTCTTGCGAGGCACTCTCAGGGCAGAAATTAGGGCATGGCCTTGGGCCAGAGTGTAGAGATAATGGCCCTGAGAGCAACTGGGCCCTGAGAGACCATAGCCCAAGACCCAACACTGCCCATGCCCTTTGACCCAAGAATGATCCAAGAGAAGGGAAAGGCTGTGTGCAGGAAGTGGGGCCCGACACTGACTCAGAGGGCTGGAGTTCCCTCAGCGCAATAAAGACGCCTCAGACTCCCGCTTGGCCTCCAGAGCCCTGGGCATGACCCTGTGTTCGCGACGCTGGGCGAGTCCCTCCTCCAGCCTGGGGCAGGGACAGAGTGCAGGGATCCACCAGTGATGCCTGCCACCAGTGCAGGTACCAGAGCTGTGCTGGGCTTTCACCACTCCTGGTCTCTCAGAGCCCTTCAAGTTCTGTAATTTTATAACAAATTTTGGGCTAATCCTGGAAAGACCTGTTTTTTCTGAAAGTCTGGAGTTTTGTCTTAAGTACTTTTTATTGCGAAATTTACAGTTTTTATAGAAAGTTTTGGGGGGAAAATTTAAAGACATAGAAGATGATTTAAAACCCCCTGTTTATCCCACCATCTAGAGATAAACATTAATAACATTTTGGTGTATTTCTGTCCAGTTTTTTCCCTCAGTTTTGATATACACGTGTACGTGCACACACAAACGTAGACATATGTTAATAGCTGCTCTTATTTAAGCACTTAAACTCTATAGGACGTCACCATTCAGCTTGTCAAGCACAATATCTCACTTCGCCCCCATATAGTCCTGCAAGGAAGAGGTGATTAGTCACATTTTATAGATGGGGAAAAAGGCAAAATTTGAACCAACATAATCAGCTTTCAGGTGTTGAAAGCCCACCTGATGTCGCATGCAGAAGGCCTGGAGCCTGGCGAGGGGCACATGGCTGGCCACGGTCCCGTGGGTTTTAGTATATCTCATGGTTGTGGAGCCATCACCACTGTCTTGATTTCAGAGTGACTTCATCACCCCAAAAAGAGACCCGTTCCCATCAGCAGTCACTCCCCATCGGCCCCTCCCCCAAGCCACTCATCTGCTCTCAGTCTTTATGGCTTTACCTGCTCTGAATTTTTCACAGGCTTTAGTCAAGGTTTTGAACACCAGGTACCAGGGGATGCGTCGGTTTGCTCGAGCAATGAAACCACATCTGGTGTATCATCCACGTGGAATCATACAGTATTTGTGTCTTTTGATGTCAGACTAATTCCACGTAGCATGTTGTCCAGGCTCGTCCGTGTTGTAGCGGCATCGATACTTCGTCCTTCTTTTGGACAACAGAATAACATCCCGTTGCGTGCCTATCCTACATTTTGTGTATCCATTCATCTGTTGATGGACATTTGGGCTGTTTCTGCCTTTTGGGGATTTTTATGCTGCTGTGAACATTGATATACAAGTTTTTTGTAGACCTATTTTTCACTTCTCTTGGAGATATCCTTAGAAGTGAAATTACAAGGTCCTATGGTAACTACGTTTAACCTTTTGAGGCTCTGCCAGACTTTTTCTCAAAGGGGCTGTGCCATTTTTTGCCTCCCCACCAGCAGTGTATGAAAGGAAAATGTCCTTTTATTAAACACCTACTCTGTGCTAGGCACTGAGCTAGACCCCTTCCATACCTTGTCTGCTATGATCCTCATACCTACCCTGTGAAATGCCTGTCATTGCCTTTATTTTACTGAGGCTCAGAGCAGTGATGGGACTCTCCCAGGATCACACAGGGAATAGAGGCAAGTCCTAGATTCACACCCAGTTCTGCCCCTTATGTTTCCTGTCTACTCAGTGATTGCTGACTGACTGAGTGACTGTCAGAGGCTAAAGTGGAATTAGTCCACTCTTCTCCCCAACCCTCCTGGGCCTTGTTTTGCAGACGGGAAAGTTGGACCCCCACTACCCGAAGGTCTGCGGGCACAGAGGGAACGTCTTAGATATTAAGTGGAACCCTTTCGATGACTTTGAGATTGCCTCTGCTTCTGAAGATGCCACGGTGAGTACCAGCACGTACGGCTGGCTGTTCTCTTGACCAAAAGGAGTGGGATTGGGGCGGCGGGAGGTGGAACAGTGTCTGTACTCGGCTCTGATGCTCCTGACTCCTTCATCCTTCATGAGGTAAGGTTGCTGTGGGGAGGGCATAATGTAGATTCTGGCTTCTGTGGAACTTGGGGCACGACCCTTCCTCTCTATGGGCCTCAGTTCCCCCACCTATAAAATGGGCATAATAGCTCCCAACTGCCTAGTGAAGATCCAATGAGATTCATATTCCGGTGGGAAAGCCCATCTTTTGGGGAGACTATAAAATGCTATGAGGGGCATTCTTATTGTGGCCAGAAAATATTGTGCCACTTGATCTCATATACAGTAGGGAAGTAAATTTTAAAAGGATAAGAGTGGGAGCCATAGATGAGTATGGACACCAGAACCATCCTAGAGGCTTCAGGCCCACCAATTTAAGCACCTCTTCTGTTCCAGGGAGCTAATCCCTGCTCCCACAATGCTCATTGTTATTTATAATTTTTATTCTAGGCCACTTTTAAAATGTAGTGGGTATGACTTTTTTAAAAAAGACCCAAATATGATCAGGTGATTCAAATAAGCATAAAATTCATAGTTACCATGTATCGTGAGCCCACTGGCTCTCATTACACATGTCATGTCACTCAGTCTTCCCTTCCCTGCAACCTCACAAGGCAGGACACTTTTCTGATGTAGAAGTCGAGGATCTGAGAGGTACGGCTATTTGCCCAACGTCACACAGTTTGTAGAGGCAGAACCAGACTTCAAACTGAGGTCTTATTTCAGAGCCCAGTCTATTTCCACTGAGCTATGCCAGTTCCCTAAAGCGCAGCAGCCACAGATGCAGGAAGTGAGGAAATAATACTAGAAACGTTGGCAATGGAAGGTTGCAGTTACTGAGCCCGAGGTTGAGCTCAGAACTGCCTGGCAGCCAAGGCAAAAAGGAAAATAGAATGTATTGCAGAACCCTTACTGTCTGGTCAGAGGAAACACACCAATTCATCAGGACAAGCAGGCAGAAAATTCTAAGAGGACTTGTGCCAGTTTCCGTAGAGGGGATGCTGAGGAACATAAAAGAAGCCCCTCCAAAAGGGCCTGCCCTGTCCTGCTCCAGAGATTGTGTTGGCTGGCTCCCTAGTGCCTTGAGGATTCAGCACAAACCCTTCCTCCTGCCATTCAAGGCTCCACCCAGGGCCTTTTGGACAAGGGGCAGGGGGAGGCCATTGTACTTTGGAGGATGTTCTATGCTGGGAGGCAGATTTGCTCTAATACCCAGCCTGGGAGTCAAGCTTGTGGCCCACCTACCACACACTGCCTCCGGTTATTAGGATGGCAGAGATTACCAGGGGGCAGATTGGAAGGCACCAAGGGGCAGACTGAGAGGCCTGGACTCATCTCTGGTCAATACCAGTCCCTGCTTTGGCTGGAGGACCTTGGCAAAGCCGCTGTCCCTCTGAGGCTCCCACTTGCCCCTCTACTGAGTAAGAGGTGGACACAGAGAGAACTCCCCGTCCCTTCTGCTGACAGATTAAGATCTGGGGCATCCCCAAGCAACTGCTGTCAAGGAACCTCACGGCCTACAGGAAGGAGCTGGTGGGCCACTCCCGCCGAGTGGGCCTGGTGGAGTGGCACCCCACGGCCGCCAACATCCTCTTCAGCGCGGGCTACGACTACAAGGTGGGTCTGTGTATTAACTCCCGGGGCTGCCCTAACAAAGGACCAAGCTGAGTGGCTTAAGACGACAGAAATTTATTCTCGCATGGTTCTGAAGACGAAATCCTAAATCAAGGTGTTAGGAGAGCCATGCTTCCCTTGAAGATTCTAGGGAAGAATCCTGTGATTCTTCCAGCTTCTAGTGGCTCCAGGCATCCTTGGCTTGTGGCTGCATTGCTCTAATCTGCCTTCGTTGTCACATGGCCTTCTTTTCTGTGTGTCCTCTCCTCTTATAAGGACACCACTCATTGGATTTAGGGCCCACTCAAATCCAGTATGAACTCATTGTAACTAATTTCATAAGCAAAGCCCCTATGTCTAAATAAGGTCACATTCTGAGGTTCCAGGTGGACATGAGTTTGGGGAGGATACTATTCAATCCATTAGTCTGCCTGGAGGGGCTGGGCTGGGCCCCGTGGATTGTGGAAATCTATGGTATGGGAGACTGATACTCTGTTCTCGCTCACCTCTGATTGCAGTGTGAGCTGGGAAAGTCCCTGGTCTTCTCTGGGCTTCCGTTTCTCAATCTGTACACAGATGGGGTTGGTGTGACCATAGCTATGGCTTTTAAACTCTTCCCTTCACAACTCTATAGGGCTTTACTGAGGCACCTCAGGGGCCTCTGTGATGGATAAAATGGGAGTGGTAGGGGGGCCTCTTCCCCCTTCCGATCAGAAGTGCTCTTTATCTGTCTACGTGTGTCTGCAGGGCTACTGCTTGGGGTTCTGCAGGTTGTGTACAGGACTCCAGGGGGCGCTGTTCACATCGTGGATTATGGGAATGTGGATGCCCTGGAGCTGTGCAGTGCAGCCTGCACAACTAAACATGGCAATCCTGTTTATCTGTGAGAGGTGGAAACTCCTGTTTAAAACCCCCAGGATCCTTCCAGCATGGATGTTTCATTGCTCCAAGGCAGATGGTGTTTTTTTCACTGCTAGACAGTCTGACTCCCAGCTTCCCCCTCCTACCACGTGGCAATTTCTGCTGGCAGATCCATCTTCCCACCTGAGGCCTCTTGGCCAGACTGCCATCTGTGGCTTCCCTCCCGGGGATACCATGTTTCACTACAGCCTGTCCAGCGTGTGACTGTGGGGGCCAGGGGAGGGGCAGCCACTGTGCTCAGAGCCGACTCTCTGCCATGCAGGTGATGGTCTGGAACCTGGATACAAAGGAGTCTGTAATCATGAGCCCGGTGAAAACAATTGACTGTCACCCAGACGTGATCCTCTCCATGTCCTTCAACACCAACGGCAGCCTGCTTGCCACCACCTGTAAAGACCGCAAGATTCGGGTTCTTGACCCCCGAGCAGGGACTGTCCTCCAGGTCAGTGCAAGGCTGGAGTCTGGCTTGGGGTCAGAGGATCAAGGAGTGGAGTAGAGGCGGAGGCTTCTGAGAACAGGGCAATAATATTGTTCATTACAGTAACCTACGTTCTGGGCAAGCTTTCACACATGTTGTCCCCATTTTTCAGATGATAAAACTGAGGCTGCAGAGAGGCCAAGCAACATACCCACATTGAAAACTGGGATTTGAACCTGGTCTAATGCCAAAGTTTGTTAGTGTGCATCAGCTCTGTCAGGGGCACGACATGGGGTTGGAGACCTCGGGGTATCACTGTTGATCTACTGTGTTGATCTACTAGGCAAGCATTTTCAGGTGGCCAAGCCTTTGTTTCCTCATCTGCAACAATGGGCTATTGTATTAGTTTTCCCTCTCAGAAGATTAAATGAGATAACCCGGGTGACAGTGCCGGCACAGCCCCATGCCCTGCATATAGTGAGTGCTCAATAATCTTTCAACAAGAGCATAGGACTGGGCAAAAGTTTGCCTCTTGTAGTTCAGAAAAATAACTCTGGAAGGATCCTCGAGGCAGAGTTGGGGTGAGAAAGGAAGGCATTCCAGGTGGAGCAGCAGCATGAGCAAAGGAAGGGAGTCCCTGACCGCACGTGTCCCTCCAGGAAGCCAGCTACAAGGGGCACCGGGCCAACAAAGTGTTGTTTCTGGGGAACATGAAGAAGCTGCTGTCCACCGGCACGTCCCGATGGAACAACCGGCAGATGGCCCTGTGGGACCAGGTAAGTCTACCATGCACCCCTCACTGTCGCTCCTTAGCTGAGTTCTGGCTTCATTCATTCATTCATTCATTCCCTCATTCATTGATTGAATTTATTGATGAATAACAGGAAGATGCTAATAGCCTGATGGCATGAGCCCAGACCTTGTACATCTTGTCATTCAAAGAGGGAGACTGGTCAGGATAGGGGAGCGGGGGGGACACGTGGCTATGTGTGGGATCAGGACTGGGTGGAAGGGAGGAGAGCGCCTTCTGGGCAGAAGGAATAGCTGGAGCGAGGGCTTTTGATGAAGTACTGAGCCATGTGGGCAGGAGCAGCTGCATGTCCAAGGTAGGGGTGTGGTGAGGTGGGGGCCAGGCCAAGCAGTATTGATTCGAAGGAGCACTTGGCTGGACTTTCAAAGACTGGACAGATCACTTAGTTCTCTCTGAATCTCCTTCTTCATCTATTAGAATAAATAACAGACAGCAGAGGGCTGGAGTGAGATCAGGTGTGTGGGATGTGATTTGTTAAGGGCAAAATGTTGGCAAAATACAAGGTGGTGTGCGCTCTCTCATACACACACACACACACACACACTAAGTCTCTTGCTCTCTCACGTGGCTGCTCACACACACGCACCCAGAGCCCCGTGGCAGGAATTCTTAGCTCAGAGAGCACCGCTGAGGGCCCCATGCGTGACCTGCAGGCCGTCCTGGTCTCCCTTCCCTTGCAGGACAACCTTTCCGAGCCTCTCTCAGAGGAAGACCTGGACGGCTCCTCAGGTGTGCTGTTTCCCTTCTATGACGCAGACACCAACATGCTCTACGTGGTGGGAAAGGTCAGTCTGGCACGACAGGAAGGTGGCCTCATGGAATCCTGAGGCAGGAGGCAGAACTACCCTAAGCCTAGCCCCACTGATGGCCAGACAGCAGCCTGGGGCCCCTGGGTGCAAGGCAGGGGCAGGGACAGGCAAGAGCCACTGGACACTCTCCCCCTGTGGAGAGCCCAGCCCCTTTCTCCCACCTTCCTGGCTCCCAGAGCACCTGGGCCCAGGGCTTTAGCTAGACACCCTGAGCTGGCCCCCTTCCCCAACTCTGGGTCCAGATGAGAAAGGACCAGTTGGTGTGTCTCATCAGAGGCACCTTCAAATTTGGGGCAGAGCTGGTCTTCATTGAGTAGGGCTATCATCTGTATTTGGCGGCCCTGATCCCTACCCACCCATGCCAATAGCAGCATCCCCCCACCCCGGCCCCGCCCAGTCATTATGACAGTGACAACCAGAAATGCCCCTCGAGGTAAGCCCCACTGGCTGGTCTCAGGACATGCCTCTCTGACCTTTGTGTGCAACTCTTGGATGGGAGTGGGGTTCCAGCCTGTGCCTCCAGAACTTCTGCCTTGGAGGCACCTGGGTGGGCTTTGGATCATGGTTGGGGGGACTGAGTGTTAAAAAGAGCACCATCCTACTGCCTTGGTGACAGTTTCCTGGTATTCCTGGTGTGAGGTGGTTTTACCAACTCTCCCTACTATGAAGACGAGGTTTCTGCTCATGGCAGTGAGAGCCAGGTGGGGGCTGATGGGAACCGGCTCTAAACATACCCTCCTCTTCCTCAGGGAGACGGGAACATCCGTTACTATGAGGTGAGCTCCGAAAAACCTCACCTGAACTACCTGACGGAATACCGCTCCTATTACCCACAGAAGGGGATCGGTGAGTGTGGGGCACTGAAGCCACTTGGGACCTGAGGAGACAGGGATGAGTCAGGTTTAGGCTCCACACCGGAGGGGCCCACATTCAGGGGGGAAGATGGTGGGTAAACAGTCTGACTCAATGGGAACTCTAGTTAGATGTGCAGGAGGTTCTCTGGGAGGCTTCCTGAAGGAGGCAACATTTGAGGAATGGAAAGAGGAGGCAGAGCACAGCATGGGGAGAGAATGAAGGTGTTCTAGGCCAAGACTGAACAAGTACACAGCACGGAGATGGGAGAGACTGACCTAAGAGAGCCCCTACTTTTTCAGTGTGTTTGGGGATAAAAAGACAACAGGATTCAGCTATATGTTGTCTATAAGAAACCCACTTAAATATAAAGACACAGCTAGATTACAAATAAAGGAATGGAGAAAGACATACCATGCTAACAGTAAGCAAAAGAAAGCTGGACACGTTCTATTAAGAGTACCTGGGTCACCCTGTGGGGATGGCGAGGGAGGGCCTGGAACAGAGCACACTTCCTACAAAAGCCGAGCTAAAATCATGTAAATCCTTGAAGGTGAGGACAAGTTCTGATGATTTCAGCCCCATTTCCCCAGCACAGGGCCTGGCCCAGTGGAGATGTTTGCTCATGAACTGTTTGTTGAGGGGAAGAATGGTGAGAGGAGGGTGGTCTCTGTTCACATCCAGGTGTGCAGCCTGGCTTTGCAACTTACACTGGGTCCCTGTGGCCCCAGCCCAGCTGGAACTGCTTGGCCCTTGTCAACCATCTTCCCGCAGGTTTCATGCCAAAGAGAGGTCTTGACGTGTCCACCTGTGAGATCTTCCGCTTTTACAAACTGATCACAACGAAAAGCCTCATCGAACCCGTGTCCATGATTGTACCCCGGCGGGTAAGAGTGGTGGGGGTATCTGCAAAGGAGGTGGGGAACCCTTCCTGGAGAAGACTAACCCTGGAGCCAGGAGCTCATGCCCCTGAGGTAGCAACAGGGAGGCTATGGCCACTTCCCTCAAGGGTCAGGCCTTCCCCGTGGTCAGTGAGGGATCACTGGGAGCTAGGAATCCTAACTCTTGCCTCACCTCTGCTCTTGAGCTGCTGTGTGACCTTGGGCATGACCCTTTGCTCTCCGGACCTTGTTTTTCTCAATTCACAGGGGTTGGGAAGGGCCTGGACCCCCAGCTCTCTAAGGGCCCTCTGTGGGCAGCCTGCCCTACCACCCCCGCTCTCACTGTCCTGACTTCTCCTGCAGTCGGAATCCTACCAGGAGGACATCTACCCACCCACGGCAGGGGCCCAGCCCTCTATGACAGCCAGGGAGTGGCTCGGTGGGATGAATAAAGGTGAGGAAGGCAGAGAAGAGGCCTCGGGCGAACGTGGGGGGAAATGGCGTGTCCTATGGCCCAGAGAGCTGAGAGGGGTTTGAACTGTATGTGTATTCTCCTGAAACCCCAGCACTGGTCCTTGACAGTCAGTCCCCAGTGGCTGAGATGGTCACACCTATGTGTCCCAGGAAGGCAGGGACTTATCCCAAGTGGCTCAGAACACTCCCTCCCAGTCAAGGGATTTTGCTCCATGGAAAACTACTAAGCTCTGGGCTGTGCAGAGTGACTGGATAGTCTCAGCCGGACCTTGTGCCCATCCACCCCCACCCCCACCTCCACAATTACTTAGGAGACCCTCTAGGCAGCAGCCCCCACCCCAGGCCCTTGTGCCCTGACTCACCCTTCCTGCCCTGTCAACATGAGGGCCAGCCCAGGGAAGGCTGTGGGTGCTCCCCACCCCCACCCCAGCTGCTGCCTCTGTGATTGGGATCTCCCTTCCCTTCTACACCCCAAGCCCCTCTTTCTATAGCCCTTAGACAGTCTCACTCTCCTCTGGGCCTCAGTTTCCTCATCATTCTCCCTGATGCTTGCCTCCCCTGCTTCCCAGGAGTGTAGGGAGGATTCATAAGCTGGTAGATGTCAGTGTGGGTGGGACTGTCCCTACAAAGCAAGGGCCAGGCTTCACGTGAGGAGCTCCAGGGCATGCACCATGCTGCTCCGGTAGGCTAGGCTTCCTCAGAGCCACCTGCATGGGACCCTGGTTCGCACTCTGAGTGCCCTGGTCCACAGGTTCGTGCCTGTCTGCCTGTGGCCGAATCCCCCACCCTTTTTGTGTGCATCTGTGTGTCTGCTGCCTGCCTGCGCCAGTGCCCCCCATGCCCATGTGCTAACAGGCCCTCAGTCCTCACACAGCCTTTTGCTTCCTTCCCAGGGCCTGTCCTGGTGTCCCTTAGGCCCGGCTCCGATATCCTGAGCCCTCGGCCTCTGCCCCCAGAAAGACCTCTCTCCAGCCCCACGGCCCCCACCGCGCCCCACCTCGCGGACCAGACAGAAGCGCTGGTTGCCGAAGACGGCCGGAGGCCCTTCCCCCTGCGCGAGGAGAAGGCGCCAAGGTGGGCGGCGGAGCACAGGCTGGAGGAGAAGAAAGCCTGGCTCACGAACGGCTTTGACATCTTCGAGTGCCCCCCACCAAAGACTGAGAACGAGGTGGGAATGGGGGGTGCGCCTGCCCTGGCGCGGGGGGCAGAGGAACGAGGGGTGAGCAGAATGACCAGCTGTGTGGCCGGGCCGAGCTACTTAACTCACTTCGTTAATTCATTCAGCAAACGGGCGACGAGCGCTGTCGGTCCGCCCAGATGGGGGCCTTGCGGACAGAGGGTGGAGGACCAGCTGCAAAATGAAGAGGGTGTGACTTGCTGGGTATTAAAGCCCCTTCCAGTTCTGACCCTGTAGGATTTTTGTGCTTTCAGAGCCAGCATTTGCTCAGTGCCTGCTGTGTGCCAGGTCCCGTGGAGGGCACTCTGATATATTGTAGGTGTGAATTCTCCCAACAGCCCTGGGAGTCAGTAGGTAGCGGCCAAAAACTCAAGGCCTGGCGTCTCTTGGAGGGATTCTAATCCTAGCTCTACTGAGCGCTACCTGTAGGGTACTGGCCCCAGGGGCCAAGTCTCTTTGCTTCAGTTTCCATAGTGGTAACGTGGGGGCACTAATACCGTGACCCTCACAGGGCTTTGTGAGCATCCAGGAGAACAGGGAAGACCCTTACTTAGGGGGAGCACCCAACACCTGTACCGTTCTGTACAGTGGCAGCAGTTGTGATGATACTAAAGTTAGTTTTCTGACCCTCATTTCCTAGAGGAGGAAATTAAAGCTCAGAGAAGGTAAGTAACTTGCCTGAAGCCACGCAGTTTAGTGGTGGTAAAAACTCCAATGTCCAGACATCAGGGCCAAATATCCTTTCTTCCATCCCATGGGAGAATCTAAGGAGGCAAAAAACTGTCTGAAATATCAAGTCTTTTTGAATTTCATTTATTAGGTGAAGGAAACAAGGTTTTTGTAAAAGATTTATGCAATGGCTGCCCCCTTAGGCCTCAGTCACATTAGTTTAATCACCTCCACCTTTCTGAGTCCAAAAGGGACGATGGTTTTTATGCTTTCTGCTGTTGTCCTGCCTCCCTCAAATCCCAGGATACCTACATGACCTTTTCCTCTATTCCGTGCTCTCCCAGCTGCTACAGATGTTCTATCGGCAACAGGAGGAGATCAGAAGACTCCGGGAGCTGGTGACCCAACGCGAGGTCCAGGCCAAACAGTTGGAACTGGAGATCAAAAACTTGCGGATGAGCTCAGAATGGTTTTGAGCAGAGGTCTCTGCCCTCCTTGCCCTCAGGGACACCACTTGGCTCCATGGGGAGGTCCAGAACCAAACCACGAGTCCCCCAAGAACAACCACTATTTCTATATTTTTTACCAGAAAATGAAACTCGATCGCCGAAAGATTCCAGTGGGACGTGGTGCCGTTTTTCTATTTGCCTTCTTGAAACATCAGTGTCTGAATTGACTCTTTTTACACGATACCTTGCCTTCTGTTCGATTCTGTTTGTAAGGGTCCATGATAAGCTATAACTTCCCAAGGGAAAGAACATTGTAGAAAGTTAGAGCTAAAAGGACCTAGAAGGTGAACCTGCCTGTGATTTTCAAACTGTGGTCTATAGAATGGGGCAGGCTAACCAGGAAGGCTGAACCCTTCTTCCCCCCTTTCCAACCTGACAGCTCTCCTTTCTGTTTTATATATTGGCTTATATGGAATACATAATTCTGCTACTCAAAAAAACTAGAAGTTTGAAAACCAGTAATTGGCCCAATTTCCTCATTTTTCAGGTGGAGAAATTGAGAGGCCCAAAGAGAGGCAAGTGATGCAGGTCCCCAGAGTGTTCTCAGCAGGGGTGGGCTGAGCTTCTGGTCTCCTGGGTCTGTCTTTCTGCTGTTTTTGGTCTGATACAGTTCTCGGCCCACAGAGGAGGGATCCGTTCGTTCTGGCCTTGCTGCGCTTCCTGACTTGCAGTGACCTCAAGCCTTTCCCTCTCTGGTCTCAGTTTCTCCATCTGAACAAGGGGACCCCTGGAATCTGCCACCCAAGACGAAATGTTGGCCTTGACCTAAGGAAACTACCTGTAGGAGGATGATCTGGGTTTGCTGTGGGAACTCACAAGACATTGGCGCAAGGGCGGAGGGAATTTAACTTCAGGGAAAGAAGTCAGGGTTCAGCCCAATTCTAGAATATAGACAGGAGGGCAAAACCATCCTAGCTCCAGCCAGAATCCACCGGATGTGGGTAGACACTTCCTTATGTGGGACACAGACAGGTTGTCATCCACGGCCACCGACAGCTACCAAAGCCCTCGGGTCACAGAGTCTGCCTCTGCCAGGCAGACAAAGGCAGATGTCAGTCCACCATAACAGGAGGTGGAGGTGGCAGTTTGCCTGCAGAACCCCCTGGCTGCCCAGCCGTGAGGGCTTCTGGAGGAGGATTTTACTAGGCAAGAAAGAAAGACCACATGGCCCTAATGTTCCCTTCCAGCCTGAGCATTTTCTGTGTCCCTCTTTTGTGAATCTGGTCTGAGCCCTTCTCTGAGATTCTTTCTCAGTTCAGTACAGTGGCCCACCTAGAGACGGCGAATGTTGGAAGTTAAAAGTACCTCCTTACCGAGGAGGTGCAGACAGTGAGATTTACTCTTTGCACTGGGCAATCCTGGAGCTAGGATGGGGACTGCAGGAGGCCACCTGGCCTGGTGGGTTTCAACCCAGGCTGTACCTTAGAATCCGCTTGGGAGCACTCAGAAAATACAGATGGCCAGCCCCAACTCAGAACCAATCAAAGCTGAATCAGCAGAGTAGGACCTGGCCTTGTGTATGCTTTTATAAGCTCCCAGGTGATTCTGCAGTACATTGAGGGTGGAGACCCACCGGGCTAGTGCATCTGTACCTATCTACAGTAAAGATGAGGACAGGGGGCGCCAGACAGGAGCTGGGACCCCAACCCTGTCCTCTAAGTCTTGGCCAGAGGCTAAAATCAGGAAGCATTGCTCTGAGCCCTCTGCCAGGTCTCTGCCCACTCCCACATCCCCCCACCCCAGTTCCCACAGGATGGGGGCTCTGTGCTCCTGATTGCCCCCTCCCTTAGCCATGGCTGGTCCCCCTGTCTGCTTGCACATTCCAGACACCCCAGTTGCTTGTCTTGTCCTCCATTTACTCAGTCACTGGGGCCTGCCAAGCTTGCCAAAGACCAAATCCCAGGTGTTGTCAGGGAAGCAGAATTCTACTAGATGGGGTCATCTCTCCTCCCTCATTTGTGGCCAGCACTTCACAGTTTACAAAGCCCTCCCACCTCCACTCACTGACACATTCTACTCTAACATGGGTCAGGCAGGCATGATTATCCCCATGTTCAGGAGGGAAGCTCAGCCTTAGAAGAAAAGAAACTTTTGCCTATAGGCACTGGCTACAAAGCAGTGGAGGTGGGGCTGAGTCTGGGGAGCTTCCTGAAGGCCGCCTCAGCGAACTCTCCCTACCCCAAGGGACCCAGACCTCAAGCTTAGAAACAATACGAAGGCATCATGAACAAACTTTTTTTTTTTTTTTACATTTAGAGTAAATTATTTAAATTATTTCACAGCAGGGGAGTGGGATAGGTAATTTTTATCAGATATTTTTTTAAGCCATTTTAAATAATTACTTTTTTGTTTATATTCTTGACTGATGAAGTGGGACTTGCCCAGAACTTGCAGGGCCAGGCCCTCATGCCCAGGGCAAGCAGAATGAGCACCCATTTCTTTACTCCATGCCCTGGGAGTCCCCCTGACTGCTGACTCAGGAACTTTCCGAGAATGAAGACAGCACTGGGAGATGAGCTTTAGGGTGTCTTCACCTTAGCGCCACAGTAACTGTTCTTCCTGGAACAAAACTTGAGTATCATAGAGGGAAGCAGGAAGTCAGAAATTGATCTATGCTTTTCATATGAAACCGTGCCTGAAACTGTTTGATTGTTTTAATGTTGTGTCTGAAATTCCTTGTACCTTTGTAAAATAAAACAAAATAAAATAAATAAATAAAAGTGAAAATAAATAGATGTGGAATCGTGCTAGGAAAGACTATAACAATAATAAACAGCATCTGCCTACAGATTTTAATACATGGAACTTTCCTTTTCTTGCTTTGTTCCACAAACAACAGTTAATTACCTACTTTTCCAGGCTGGGAAACAGGTAAGACAGAATTTGTCCCTGCCCTCTGAAGTTTTAAGTCATGGATGGAGAGAAGGGGAGGGCCAAGATAGCGGAAATATCGGCTGCTTTGGGAGAATAAGCAAAGAAGGTTTCCTGGAGGAGGTGATATTTAGGCAGAAACCTGAAGGGTACATAGGAGTAGGGCAACAGGCATTTGGGGAAAATGTGTTTGAAACAGAAAACTGCCTATTCCTTGGCCTGGAATCAAACCAAGATTAGAGCACAGACAGGGCAGAGATTAAGGGTGTTAAAAGCCAAGGGCCTCACCCTGGCTGGTGTGGTTCAGTGGTTAGAGTGTCGACCGGTGCACCGAACGGTCTCAGGTTCAATTCCCAATCAAGAGCAGGTAACTGGGTTGCAGGTTCAATCCCCCCTGGTCAGAGCATGTGCAGCAGGCAACCAATCAATGTGTCTTTCTCACATCGATGTTTCTCCCTCTCTCTCTCTCCCCTCCCTTCCTCCCTTCCACTCTTTCTAAAAATCAATGGAGCCCTATCCAGTTTGGCTCAGTGGTTAGAGTGTCGGCCCGTGGACTGGAGGGTCTCAGGTTCGATTCCAGCCAAGGACACATACCTCAGTTGCAGGCTTGATCTCCAGCCCAGGTCAGCGCATGCAGGAGGCAACCAATCGATGTGTCTCTCTCGCATCAATGTTTCTTTCTCTTTTGCTCTCTATCTTCTACTCTCTCTGGAAAGCAATGGAAAAAATATCCTCTGGCGAGGATTAAAAAAAAAAAAAAATCAATGGAAAAAGTATCCTTTGGTAAGAATTAACCAAAAAAAAAAAAGCCAAGGGCCTTATAGGTAGCAGCTGGAACTACCCCCCTCCCAACTTTATTGAGGTATGATTAATAATTGTATGAATTTAGGTTGTATGTGATTTTTTAAGTTTCACAATGTGATGATTTAATATATGCATACACTGCGAAATGATCATCACAGTCAAGTTAACTGACACACCCATCACCTCACAAAGTTACCATTTGTGTGCATGTGTGTGTGGTGAGAACCCTTGAGATCTACTCTCAACACATTTCACCCTGGCCCAGGAGTTCAGTTGGTTAGAGCATCATCCCAATAAACTAAGCTTGCAGGTTCGACCCCCTGTCAGGATACATACAAGAATCAACCAATGAATGCATAAATTAGTGGAACAACAAAATTAATGTTTCTCAATGTTTCTCTTCTTCCCCTTCCTCCTCTCTATAAAAATCAATTAAATTTTTTTTTATTATACAATACAGTGTTATTAACTATAGTCACCATATTGTATATTAAATTCCCAGAATTTATGCATCTTATAATGAGTTGGTACCCTTCTCCCCACCCCCGGAAACCATGTTTCTACTCTGTTACTATGAGTTTGACTTTAAAAAAAATTTTTTTTTAGATTCCACATATAAGTGATACTGTATAGGTTTATCTTTCTCTGTCTGGCTTATTTCACTTGGAATAATGTCTTCCAGGCTCATCAATGTACAAATGGCAGGCTTTCTTTTCTTAGGTCTGAGTAACATTTCACTGTAGATGCTTATACCATATCTTCTTTATCCACTCATCCATTGAAAGACAATTAAGTTGTTTGTATTTCTTGACTATTGTGAATACTGCTGTAATGAACACGAGGGTGCAGCTATCTCTTGGGGATACTGGCTTCATTCTTTGAATGAACACCCAGAAGTGGGATTGCTGGATCATATGGTAGTTCTATTTTTAATTTTTGGAGGAACTGCCACACTGTTTTCCATAATGGCTGTACCAATTTACATTCGGTTGAGGCTGAGACTTGAACCTGGGGGCAATTGGAGTTTCCAGGGTGTTTCTTGTGGGAATGGTTATTTCTCCTGGGGAAGGGGCGAAGGAGAATCAAGGGAAAGTGAAAAGTGTAGGTAAATGCATACCACTCTGGAAGGTCAGTCAACTTGGTCCCATCCAGAGGACTGCATTTTTCTAAGCACGACTGGATTAGCCTAACCAAGGGGTGAGGAGAGCCCATCTCCTTCCAGTTAGCCCATTAGGAGTGTGAAAATAAAGGGAACCCTCATTTAAAATGGAGTGGGGAGCCCAGAAGGGGGAGCCTTCAGGCTCTACCACTCTAAGTCAATTACAGACCCCAAGGAGAAGAGTCAGTGCAAGTGGGCACTACCTTACTGCTCCGGGGAAGGCAGGCTTCCTTCTTGCCAACGAGAAACTGTCACCACCCTCCACTCTCACTTTCCTTCAATGGACTTTCCTTCAAAATGACCCCACCCAACTTCCTCCTTTTTCTTTACAAAGTAACATTCCTCTCCTTTGCTCCTTGGACTTGCCTATGGTTTTTGCTGTAGCTTACGTGTCCCGAATTGCAATTCCTCTGCTATGCCCAAGTCAATTTATTTTGCTGGTAAAATAACTGTTTTATTTTTCAGGTATGCAGGAGCGAACCCCCATTTCTGCTGTGGTCAGCACTTCTAGGCCAGACACCAAGCCGGCTTCGGCCAAGCCTGAGCCTCCAGCAGGGGCTAAAGGGACGGGAGAGCACCCTGCGGGTCTG